AAGCACTGAACAACAGCTGTCATTTTTTAACTCATAAAGAAATGCTTTGGTGGACACACAACCTTAGTAAAGTAACACCAGTGAATGAGAATTTGGGTAGACAAGAGCATAACGACCAAACAATTGACCTTGGCAAAACAATTTGCTGGTTTTCCCTGTTAGCACAGCTTTTAAACCCAGTTCAGACCCAAGATTTGCAATGAGACAAAACCGTTTTAGAACATTTAAAAAATTATGTTTATATAGCAATACCGATGACATGGGGTGGATCTGTCATTCTACTGTAACTACCAAGGGTCTTTGCTTTTATTGTTATTATTTTTAGTATCTGACACGTGATTTACTCTCTACAGTCGGCAGAGACCCTCCCCCCAGTAAACACCCAATCACTGTTTAGTATGCAAATGAGCCAAGATGCATCGGCGTCAGGTTTCTCAGTCTTAGTGAGGCAGAATGCAGCAGTAAAGTGAAGCTCCGTTAAACTCGTCGTAGCGTCTCATGTCGTGAAATACTTAATATATAGTTAAGAACAAAAAGCAAAAGTAAATATAGCAGTGTGAACATAGAGTGTGAGCCTGTCAGTGCGAACGTTTCTTCAATCACACAGGCACAGTGAGAGATGAGTGCCTGCTGCATGTCACATACTGAGGACAAATGCCCTGTGTGTGCCAGACCCTTACATAAAGCCCCGCCCAGCCTCTAGTTCTGCACGCTGTTTTTTGATAATCACAGCGATTTTTACAAAGCTTTTATTAACTTTTCACTACTGCAGCTTTCAGCAGCTCACAAAACCTTGCCCCTGCCTCGGTGTGTGTCTCATTTCTCCTCAGGGACTTAACATACAACGTTGCTATTGAACTTGCTGAATGTTCCATTCAGTTAATACAGTGTGATGCATCCATTTTTCAGAGCTTTTAAAATAGGTAGTGCTGCTTCTGCCAATGACAGCAGCCAGCGCTGCTACTGCTGCCTGTGCTAATAGCAGCGATGTCGCTAGTAGGCCTACATCAAGACTACACCTTTACCATCAGCAAGCACTGCTTCTCCTGTACCTTCCCCAAATGCTGCCCCAAAGCAGCCTGCTCAGCTACCCAGTGATTTAAATGGCACTGCACCATCTCAGCCAATACTGGGTAGCTACCCAAAGTGTGCATTTGGTACAACATTAAGGTCTTTCAATCCTGCCTGGTACCACACACGACCATGGCTAGAGTACTCCGTTATGCAGGATGCATGCTTCTGTTTTCCCTGTCGGAAATATACCACTGTTAATGAGAGGGATGTTGTTTTTACCCTTACTGGTTTTAACAACTGGAAAGCAGAGGCATACATCCAGCCACAACTATGTGCATGCTTCATTCCTCTGGACTCAGCACAAAAGCAGAGAGGCTACAGGGGGAACTGTAGACTCTCTGTTGGTTGGCAAAACACAACTAGAGAAAAACCATTACTATGTCAAGAGTGTGGGCAGTGCTGTAAAGTTTTACTGTGTAAATGAGTTGGGGCTCCGTGGGACAGCAGAAACTTTGAGATATGATAGGTGTACAGCTGGTAATGATGATGATGTTGCTTCAGGTCTTTTTCTCAAACTAATGGAGTATACTTTGGAGAAGGATGAGAAACTAGCAAGCATTGCTAAAGGCATCCCAAACAATGCTAAATATACATCCAAGAACATCCAAAATGAAATAATCCAAACACTGGCAAACATGGTGCTTGGAGAGGTAAGGACAAAATATGAAAATGCTGATGCTGCAGGGTTTTGCCTCAAAAGTGATGGGACCAGGGACAGGTGCAATGTGGAAAACCTGTCAGTAATGATAAGATTTGTCAGCAATTCCATGCCAGAAGAGCACTTTATTGGGTTGCTTGACTTGGACCGACTTGATGCAGAGCACATCACCTCTGAGATCCTGACATGCCTTTCTGATGCTGGCTACAGTGCTGACAACATACTTAGCCAGTGTTATGATGGAGCTTCTGTGATGAGTGGGGTAAGAGGTGGTGTACAAGCTCTGCTCCAAAAGAAGCTTGCTAGGTATGTCCCATACATCCACTGCTACAACCACCAACTGCACTTAGTGGTTGTGCATGCCATGCAGAGTGAACCATGTGCAAAACGATTTTTTGACCTCTCTAGTGCACTGTACAACTTCTTTCATCACCACTACGTGACTAAGAAATATGATGCACCTAATCTTAGAAGGCTGCTTCAGATCCGTTGGACAAGCCACTATGAGGTGACAAGATGCATTATTGAGAACCAAGACCAGATTCTCAATATCCTGTCTGAAATGACAGAGGATGATGGTGCTGCAGTTGACCTGTGCACCGAGGCATCAGGCCTGCTCTGTCAAATTAAGAGGCAGCACTTCTTTGAGACAGGGAAATTTCTAGTGCGGATGCTTGGTGTCCTGAAACCAGCAAATGCAATACTGCAGTCTCAGTATGTGGATATGTGCAGTGCTTCTGAGGTTGTTGGTGCAGCACTGGAGTCCTTAAAAAACATGAGGGACCATGACGATGAGTATTAGGGAGAGTTATCTCAGGCAGCTACTGGGGATGGCTTACATCCTCCAAAGAGAAGGAGAACAATGAGCAAACACCTCGATCAAAGTGTCATGCTCTCAGCTGTGGGCCATACAGACACTGATGATCCTACCATTTCCCCCCATCAGTCACTGAAAAGATCTCTGCTCAGCATCCTTGACAGGGCCATTTCAGAAATGGAAACGAGATTTTCTCAGAAAAATGTTAACCTGATGAAAGCCCTATCTAGCCTTGCGCCCAAATCTACGGCTTTTCTAGATGCAACCCTGTTGCACCCTTTGGCTGTGCTGGCTGACACTGTGGTAGACGATGCAAGTCTGAAAAATGAAATTCTTGTGGCAAAACCGATGTTGCTAAAGAAATGTCCAAATGAAACAGACCTGTCCACTGTGTGTAAACACCTGCACAAGTACAAAGAGGCCTTTCCCGAGTTGCAAAAATTGTATGTAACAGCCCTGGTAATTGGCGTGTCTTCAGCATCATGTGAGAGTTCCTTTTCCACATTGTCACGGGTCCTCACCCCCTATTGTCACACCATGTTACATGAGAGAAAGAGGAATTTGGTGATCTTGGCCCATGAGAAGTCCATCACAACTAACTTGGACATGGACGAATTTGCGAGAGTTTTTGCGAAGGCAAACAGGAGACTGTTGTTGTAGAGTGGAGTGAGGAGAAAGGAGAGTGAAGAGATGTTGGTTGTGCCTGGATGAAGGATATTTTTATTTTATTTTTTCTTAATTTTTATTTCATTTTTTCTTAATTTTTTGTTTCATTTATTGTTTATTTTATTTTTCAGTTTTCCTCCCTGAGGGATTGCCACCTTACTGTGGTCAGGGGGTTTGCGTGCCTCAGTGACCCTAACAGCTATACCAACAGGAGCTTAGTCTTCAGGTGGGACACCCAAGTTGGACAGGTCTTAGGGTAGAGGCCTGACAAAGTGCAATCCATTTCTTTAGGTTGGGGGTTGGACACACAGCTAACAACAACCCAATTCCATGTAGAAAACACTGTTATCAATAACAACAAAACAAGCGGCAAGCACATTTGAGACCACCGTGCTTTGACACCCTCTATAGGGCACTCACACAGCATCCCCACATCCCCACATCCTGCGATGCGAGTGAGTGAGTGAGTGAGTGTGTGTGTGTGTGTGTGTGTGTGTGAGTGAGTGAGTGTGTGAGTGTGTGTGTGTGTGTGTGTGTGTGTGTGTGTGTGTGAGTGAGTGAGTGAGTGAGTGAGTGAGTGAGTGACCTTTATTTGTCAGCTCTAGCTATGGCAAAAATGTGCTGGAGCATGATCCCCCCTTCACATTTATGACTGCCCCCTCATATATGCCTGCCTAGAACCGGGCCTGTTGTGCACTCTGGCTGCACTTCCGCCTCTGTTTCTCCTCTCCTCTGTCTCATTGAATTTGGTCACTGGGTCCTCACTGGATGCTCCAAAATTGGAACAAGGTCGCAATAGGTGTGTCAAAGCAGTTTGATGCACCTCAAACAAGTGGTTTACTCACACTAGTGGCTCAGTGAGGCTGTCAGTGTGCTGATATGCTCACGATGACAATGCTAACATGTAGATGTTTAGCAGGTACAATGAGAAGTGTGGGTTTAAATCCATCAACCCATTGAGGGCTGAATTCAAAATTACACCAAAAATCAATGTAAAAAATTGAAATCACAGGCTGATTCAACTTATGCAAATTTCATTATGGCAGCACATAATGTGACTCAGTAGTGTGTATAGCCCCCCGCCTGCCTGTGTGCATTCGCGAGAATGTCTGGGCATGCTCCTAGTGAGTCAGCAGATGGCATCCTGGGGGATCTCCTCCCAGACCTGGATCAAGGCATCAGTAAGCTCCTGGACAGTCTGTGGCAGTACTTGGCGGTGTCGGATGCACCGATACATAATGTCCCATAGGTGCTCAGTTGGATTTAGGTTAGGGGAAGGAGAGGGCCAGTCGATGGCATCAATGTCCTCATCACCTAGGAACTGCCTACACACTCTGGCCTTGAGGCCGAGCATTATCCTGCACCAGAAGGAACCCAGGGCCCACTGCATCAGCACAAAGTCTGACAGTCACTTTGCGGATTTCGTCCTGGTACCTAACAGCAGTCAGGGTACCATTGGCTACACAATGGAGGTCTGTGCGACCCTCCAAGGATATGCCTCCCCAGACCATCACTGATCCACCGCCAAACATGGTGGATGATGTTACAGGCAGCAAAATGTTCCCCACAGCATCTGCAGACTCTTTCATGCCTGCCACATGTGTTCAGTATATACCTGCCCTCACCTGTGAAGAGAACTTTTTTTTTTGGCCTTCCAATTTTGGTGTTGTCTGGTGAATGCCATTCCAGCTGCACGGTACTGGGCTGTGAGCAGAGCTCCTCCTGTTCCTCCTTGCACAAAGGAACAGATACTGGCTCTTCTGCTGTGTCGATGCTCTTTTACAGTCCTGTCCAGCTCTCCTCATATATGGGCCGGCCTTCTGATCTCCTCCAGTGAGGCTTGTGACTGCAAGTATGGATGTGCCATCCTGGAGGAGCTAGATTACTTGTGCAACCTGATTGGGCTGCAGGTACTGCCTCCTGCTACCAGTAGTGACAAGGACACGGGCAGAACACAAAACCAGAGAAGACCACCACATGTAAAACCATTCCCTTTTTTGGGGTTGTCTTGCTTTTGCCTCTCCATTGCACCTGTTGTCACTTTCACTGATTCACAATCACTTGTGCTTCCTAAATGGACAGATTGATATCCCTGAGTTAACTGACTTGATGTTCTATTGTGATGATTAAGTCTTCCCTTAATTTTTTTTGAGCAGTGTGGTAATCCCTTTGAATTTTCACTTATGACCCACTGGAAGTATGTGGCCATGTATTTATCTGCAGAGACCCTGACCTTTGCCAGAATTATTCTATTTTCTTCTTATTTTGCTGTGCTTGGGATGTTCCTGGGCAGAGTGAACAGGTGAGGTTGTTAAGAGGTAGTGACTATGCCATCCAAGAGGAAGCTACGAAAGTCATAGACAAAGCATTACAAAATTGCATAAATATAGCAAGCCTTAATATGTTATCTACTGCTAGCTCTACAAATTGACCTAATAATGCAAACTCCAGCCCTGACACGACCCTGAAATTTGTTTAAATAAACATCAAAACAGTGTCTGCCAAAACCTTATTGATACATTATTTGCTTCCTCCACATAGTCTGGATATTAATTGTGTATGTGAAACATGGCTGAAACCAATTGTTTTCTTAACATCAAAAAGCATCGCCACCTGTCCATGTTGTTCAGGCCACTACACAAGGTGTTGCCCTAACCTATATTTTGTCTATAATCAATTTGACCTCCAATCCTGAAATTTAATTTGACTCCTTTGAGGCTCTTGAATTAAAACCATCTCCACCAGCTTTAGTGTCTAAATAATTATTAACCAGTCTCTTACCTTTTATTATTTTCAGCAGACCTAGAAAGAGTTGTGGCAACAACTTTTAACCCACATATTCAACGTAATCTACTCTAACCTGAGTCTGCTTTCAGGGTGGGAGAGAGTGGAAGGGAATAGATCAAACACAACTCTTAAAGATTCTTATTTATGACTTTGGACTATCCAGATTTATTATTTTAACACTTTTTTTTTGTGTGGCCTGCTTGTACTAAAAGTCTTGAAATTCTTCAGAATGCTACAGCTAGAATCCTAACTAAAACTAGAAATTTGGGCCATACTACACCAATTCAGATCAGACTTTACCTTTGATGAAAATTACAAATGGGCACAGCTCTTCATACCTGTCTGATCTCCTTAAACCTTAAATTCCAATCAGGACTCTGTACTCTCAGTATACAGGGCTCCTGTCTCCCCAGAATCACCCCAGTCTCTTTCTGTTAAGGCCTTTGAATCCAAAGTTAAAACTCAGCCTTTCGCCTAACTTTCACTTACTTGCTTGTTGTTTGATTACTTTGGGCTTGTACCTGTTATCATTGTCTGCATAATACTGTAATCCATGTTTGCCCTGCCAACAAGGGTGCTGTAAGCTTTCTAGAAACCATTGCATCTCTCTAACCCCTCTGTTTGTTTGTGTCCCACAAGTATTTTAAAGTTTTGACCTGATGGTAGTGCCAGATGAAAAGCCAGAATATCACCAAAGTTATTACAATTCTGACGGTATTTGAATGCCTGTAACAAATGTTATGTTAATGTTGTTGAGATATTTTGGTGTGTATCAAAGTGTTCAGGACCAACAGATATTGGCCATCCCTATAGCTGTGCCACTAGCAAGGCTAAAAAATAGAAAAATGTTGGGGTGGCTAAGGTCACTACTGAACAATGAAACTAAACTCTCCAAATCAAGAAAAACATTCAATTTAGACCTGAAAATGAACTAAAATACATTGTAGTTCCTGGAAAAAAAATCTTTCACTTGTAACTGGACTGAAGTCACTTTGTCTGTAACCCTAAGAGAATTGTGACAAATACATTTGATCCTGATGTGTCCAGGTTACAAGTCAAAGTAGGACTGTACTGTTTACAGATTGTGCCTATGAAGGCACAATAAGTGATATTTTTCCAAAAATCAATGTATCAGCTCATACAAAAATAATCCCTCTCAATCATCATTTATGATCCACTAGAAGTGGGTGGCCGCATGTGTATGCATGTGCAGAGACCCAGCACTCTGCCTGTAATCTTAACTGCTGCATTTGAGTGGTTAGGACGATCAGAATCAGAAATGACTTGATTCACCTGTTGTAGGCCTTGTTGGTGGACTCTCAGAATAGCTCCTGGTGACACATGACAATTTGAAGATTCTTCACGTATGCTGAGCCCATGGTGGCCAAACTGTTCTGTCAGGTAGCGTGGAGAGGACTCAAAAGCAGATTTTTCTGTCAGGTGGTGTGGAGAGAACTCAAAGGCAGACAAAAGAATATGTCCCTGTGACTGAGGTTTAATAACAAAAAGTCAGGTAGACAGAGGACAAAGCAGAAGCAAAAACCACAGGCAGGATGAGGTCAAAAATCCCCAAAAACCTGGCAGCAAGGCAAAGGTACAGGCAAGGGCTGAGCAAAATCCTCTTTGTCCAGACAACAGGGCAAAAAGTCAGTATTAGGTCAAAGAAACAAGGCTTCAAAAAGTGGATGGGGAGCTTGGCAAACCATCAGACTTGAAGGAGACTGGTATCTGCCATACACTAGAAGACTTAAAAGACTGAAGTTTGACACCTTTTCACGTCTAAAGACAAGGTGAGTGTTTTTGTCATACACTATACAATTTTGCAAAGAAGTTTTGCTGGGTTGCTATTTACAAGGTTTCAGCTAGATTCCTTCTGAGATTATTTCCCATTCTGCTCCTGATTGGAAACATTACGCCAAACTCCCTTTGACCAATATGACATATTAAGAATTCCATAACTCTAGTAACACAAGATAAAAGGCATCATATGTTGACAGTATTCTTAACTCTGCATCAATATAATCCGTAAAAATTAGGGCCGTAACAGTACATGTATTTGTGTTGAACCGTTCGGTACGCGACTTTCGGTTCGGCACGACCCTGTACCGAATTATTGGGCGCAGGATATTATTTTATTTTATTTTAATTCTGTTTTTGCGAGCCGAACCATTTAAAATATCTAGTTCCCCGACGGACATACTTGAGTGGCGGACCGAGTCTGACCATAAATCTCCGCTTTCACTTTGTGCAGCGCATTCTCGTATTTTGACAACATGGCAAGTGAGCCTGACGAACCTGAAGACCCACCCGCAAACCTTAAGTCCTCTGTTCAGGAACACTTTGGTTTCATGGTAGAATACGAAGATGGAAATAAACAAGTTGACAAGACAAAAGCAGTGTGCCGACACTGCAGAACAGCGGTCGGTTATGTACTTGGAAACACGTCTAACATACTAACGCATCTAAAGCGACACCACCCAAGTTTGAACGTTAACCGGCATGACTAGAAAAAGCAATCTGGTGCAAACTACGATATCGTCGTTGTTTAAAAAGAAAGCGTTTCCCTGACCATTGCGTTAAAGAAATAATCAACACCATTGGAGTTGAGTAAAATTGTTAAAGCTGCACTTTAGATATAAGCAAGTTTTGTTTACTGCACTTTAACAAAGTGGGAAAGCTAAGTAAGTTCCTAGTAAAACTGAATCTGAGCAGGCTTTAAAGCTGACCAGCTGCACTATATTTTTTATTTTAATTGAGTAAAACTGTTAAAGCAGAAATTTATATTTATATTTTTCATTAAAAAAATGTGTTAAAAAAACAGCAGGATTTTATTTTTCACTTTTATATTTCTATTTTCATTCAAACAATGTGAAAAAGCAGGATTTTATATATATTTGTTTCATTCAAAAATTGTGTAAAGAGTTAACTGCTGTGGTGGTATGTTTTAATAAGGTTACCAATAAGTAAAAGATATTTAATAGTTGTCTATTTTTTTTCATTACTGTACCAAAAAAAAAAAGAACTGTGACTTGTGTACCGAGGTATGTACCGAACCGTGATTTTTGTGTACCGTTACACCCCTAGTAAAAATGAACTTTATTTTTGTACCAACTTTACATTTTGGATTTTGTCAGCACAGTCTCACGCCGACCTCTTCACATATCAACGTTTGGTCATTGTACAAGGTACCTTGGGTGCAAGGTACCTTTGGTGAGTTGGTTGTTGAAGTTCTGGGACGCCTTGTCAACTTCTGCCTGTGAAGATCATTGTGTGTTTTCCAAATACACTTCTGTTATCGCAGGAAATGTACAGTTCACATAGTCTCTTTCAAAATAAATACACCACAATGGTAAAGCACCACAAATTGGCATTTTTTTTCCTTAAACAACAAATGCCTGTTGTTAATATTTTGCCAACACACACGTGGTTGGATTTAGACAACAAAAGCATGTTGTTGGGTTTAGGAAAAAAGAACAGGATTTGTTTTTTTCAATCTCACGGGAAACAAACACTTGCCTCTTAGGTGAAAGTTGATGATTGTTTGAACTTCAGTATATGCTTGAGCAGATACTAAAAAAACAAGATTTAATTTAATGTGTTTTATATTGTAAAAATGTCAAGGTAAGAAAAAGACTGCCTTAAGACGGGTCCACGTCATTGGTTCGACAGCCCATTGGCTCGACATCCCATTAGTCCGACTGTCCGCAGTGCTGAACGGCTCGTGGCGGGCGTATGGTGCGCCGCAACGGGCTTGAGGCGGAGCAGGCTCATGGCTTATGTGTTTGTCAATTTCTTTTTCATTTTAACCCACACCATGATCTTTTCCTGACCCTAACCAAGTGGTTTTTGTGCCTAAACCTAACCAGACCTTAACCACAGGGCATCATGATGATTTCGGAACGGACTTCGGAACAATGAGTTTAATATGGTCGGAACAATGGGATGTCGAACCAATGGGCTGTCGAACTAATGGGCAGTTCCCCCTTAAGACATCTAGGATCTAGGAGTTTTATGACCACTTTACAGCAAACAATTGACATCACCGGAGCGTGCACCAGCTGAGGAAAACTATAATGCTTTTGTTCCAATGTTGGAAATTTGTCCGCAACAGTGAAATTGCTTA